GCCGTGCCGCGCCGCTACCGGCATCCAGCCCCTCCCCTCCCCCCCCTTCGCGCTGCCGCTCGCGGCCAGAAAATTCCCTAGCGCGCCGTGAGAGCGCGTAGCCGTCGTTTTCTCTCTCTCTCTCTCTCTCTCTCTCTCTCTCAACCTCCCACCTGGCCGTCTTATTTGTATGGCATAAACTTTGCGTCACGCGGTGCGTGTGGGTGCATGCGTTATTCTCCGCTGTTCTCACCGCTGACGAGCGAGAGACAGAGAAAGTTTTGGAGAGAGAGATCTCCGAGTCTCGGTTATGTCGTTACTGATACGGAAAGCATGAATTAAAACTTTTTATCAACCTCGATCGGCGACTAATTTCAACGGCGGAATCTGCTCGCTGCAGATCTCCGATTGTTATTTGCCGTTGTCCCTCCGCGTTGAAAAGGAGTTTGTTGGAGGAAGTCCCGACTCTTCGTATAAAAATTTTACCAAGTTTTCAGATTGAAAATTCATCAGCCACTAATAAATATCAGACTCCCGGTGCACATTTTATGGATATTGATTGTACAATACGATTACGAAGCTTTTAGCTTAGCTCTTGTAGTATACGAAGAAATAACTTAAGGTATAGTTGTTTCGCGACAGTACGCTCAAAAGTTTCTTCCAGGCAGGAACTCAATTATTACAATGATGTATCTTGATGTAATATTGTTCTAAAAAATACACTTACGATTAACACGTGATATAAATATAGACTCGAAAGATTATAGTTCGAGGCGCTATTTTATAGTCGATAAATGCGTTCCAAAAATTTGTGCAGGTTGACCAAATTGCACAGTATATATTGCACAATCGTATATTGTCGATAAACTGTTTAAGCGTTTTGATTTACTTATATGAAACAGAATGTTTCTAGACGCAAAGAGCACATTTGCAGATCAGGCTTTGTAATCGCTGAACGCATTGTTTGCTCCAAGTCGCCCAGATCTCCGGTGTTATCAGCAAGTTAATTCCTTCAAATGCATGCTTGCTAGTAGAAATTCCTTAGTAAATGCATATTGTCCTCAGAAAAATTAGACAATCGGAAAACTTCACCCGCGTTTTCCCGGATTTTAAATAATTTTATATCAATCTTATCTCTTTCTTTTCAGTGGCTCGATCGTGAATCTTTCATCCTAGCGTGAACTCGTGAAAGGTGGAAAAATTTCATTGAAGCATTTCACTATTCGGCAACGAAATTGTTTTGCCAAAACCATGAATTTTACTTCTCGAGGCACAATAACGCCTTAATAATTTGCATACATCGGACTCGACGAAGCCGTCTCCTTGCCGTCCGAACGGAGATAGCGAGTTCTCGAACGGGCGATATTTACCGAGATCAATATCGAAATACTCCGTATATATACTCTGCCGTGATTTCCGGGTATCTGTATCTGTCCGCCTGCAATCGAGACCGAAAGAAGAGACGCGCATCGATTCCGATGAATAATACCGGCGCAAGTCTAACTCCAACGGGCCATGTTTTGCCGGTCGTAGCTATGGCTACAGTTTGTCAGGGCTAAGGAAACGCCGTGTCGGGGACGTACACGGCTGTAGAGGCGACGCTCGACGCGAGTCTGCGAATTCACGAGGCGACGTCGGGAACGATCCTGGTCCGAAATGATAAGGAATGATAAGGACGACAGCGCTTGGGTGTTCGATTCCTTGATCGGATTTTTGCAAGGTCCCATCTGGTCGTCGCCCCTGCTGACCTTCATCGAGGAGAAATCCCTCGGTTCGTATGCAGCCGTCGGAAAATATTCTCTATATCCCCGATGGGACTCGTCGATTCTGCGACGGAAGTTTGCGCGGTATAGAAAAAACAAAGTGTCCTTAGTAGCGCGCCAGTGCATTGGCTAAACAGGAGACGGCGTCTATAATTAGTCTATTCAGCAATGTTGGTCTAATATTGTATCAATTTTATTTAGCCAATATTCAACAATATGAGACAATATTAGACAACATTGCTGAATATTGGCTAAATAGGAGAAGGCGTCCATCTTACAATATTGGACCAATATTGGGAATACTAGATTTACATCATTTCCAAATATTGCGCCAATATATTGTGCTACTGGGGAGAAATCTCATGGCGCGGCTCGTTACGGGTTTGCGTTCATCTGTCGGTCTCTTGCGGAATATCCGTAGGTGTAATTTCTCCCGCAACAAGAGTCGAAACTGGAGGACTTTCTGTCGAGCGTTACGTAACGAGAGACGCATCTATTTGTAACAACGCAAATAAGTACACGGGAAAAAAGGCTGTTGAATTAAAAAGAATGAAATTGCTCGAATTAAACATTAACGTCCCTGGCTGCAAATAATTCACTGTACTTGCTATCGATTTTAATTTCAAGCATTGAACTAAATATCTAGATTATTAAGCCAGCTATCTGATGTTCTTCATTCATTAATACTGATGTTGCTTCGACGATTTTATTTCAATTACAACGTCATTTTTTTTCCGTGTATATAACGTCTTCCTTATACACGTTGCAGTTTTCGAGGCAAACACCGAAGACTCCGAAGACTATCGGAAGATATATCAGGAGTACAAAAACTTGGTCGACTTGCTGCTCGGCTGCTTTATGGAAGACATGGGTATCACACCGGAACAATTCGAACACGCGTGCACCGTTAACAGAGATACAAAGATCCCGATACATTTTCAACAAGTACGATCGTTATACACACGCCCGCATAAGTCTGACGAATTATGTTTCGCTCGTGTTTCGTTTCGCTAAAAGAAATCCGCGTGTATCAAACAGTGAGCTCTATACTGCAGTGAGTCCTATTGTTCTCGATGTCACCGAGAGAGAGGAGCTGCTGGGCGAATCTTTGTCTCTTTCTCTACTACCTGTCGACAATTTTCTATCTCACCTTATATGAGAAGATCGTCGACGAGTCCGATATTAGAGAAAGAGACAGAGATTCACCCAACAGCACCTGTCTTTCGGCGACATCGAGAATAATAGGAAACAATAGTAGTCACTCACTCCGGTATGTTATAATAGAGTATGTTATACTGATATTAAATATAAAGAAGGAAAGAAGATCGACGTTATTTGGAGATTGATATAAAAATGAACGGTGAAGAGTCGTGCGACGATTTTAATTTACCTGTATTTTCTACTGACAAATTGCCGTCCTTCCCTCCGCAAGAATTACACGTTTCGCCGCGTGTTTTATAGAATCTATTCGAACAAATATGGGCGGCGAATGAGTACGAGATATTCAAAAGGATGATGATACAAAAGAACTTGGAGCTCCAGCTGCAGGCGCTAAATATGATCGAACAAAAATACGGTCTCACACCTGCCTCCCTCGTGTACGAGACGGACGGCATTCTCGACGACGAACTGGTCATGGAGGATTTGATAAAGTACGTTATATCGTAAATATAGCAAGCCACCATGTGTATTGTACAAAAATTATGGAATCCGTTAAAAATCAGAATGGATTTTTGTGTCGGAGGAATCATATGTCTTTCGTGTGTACAGCAAACGTGTTCTGGAAGACCAGAGCGAGGAGGAGCCGGGTATGGCCTCGGAAACGACGTTGATTGCTGAACACGAGCGTTTAGCTGCCGAATATCACAATGAAAGGGCGCTATTGGAGGAAGCGTTAAGAAAGTCGAAAGACGGGTCCCGGAATACCTCGGACGACGAGTCAGTGGAAGATGTCGAGTGTGCCGGCGTGTCTGCCGCGAAAGAGCCGTTAGACAAACTTCAGCTCAGGAAGACGGAGCCTCTCAAACCAATACTGATCTCAAAAAAGAAATCTGACGAAGATGAGGTATTTACTTTTGATTTATATACGCGCTTGTGCGACATCAATACACGTACAAATAATTTTCCAATAAACGTAAATAAAAGATTTGCAATGTGAAAACAAAAATGTATCGCTTACTGATTATTGCAGACGAATGCAGAGGATATTAAAAAGAGACAAGAATACCTGAAAGCCAGGCGAGATAAACTTGTAGCTTTGAAAAAGGAAGCTAGGAGTCACCAGTTAGAAATGAACAAAGCTCGGCCGAGTTCGGCTATAGTAGTTGCTGAGGCGACTATGAAGGGCCAGCAGGAACTAGAAGCAGCGCAAGCTGTAGATCCTTCAATACTTCAAGTACGAAGGGCTCTTGCAGCCCGACTGAAAGCTGAAGTTGTGCATAAGTAATTTTAATTTCTCATTGTTACATGTATATATAAAATATATATTAGTTTCTCATAATTAATTTGTAGTAGTCTCAAACTCGCAATTCCAGTATAAGTGCTTCACACAAAAGACTAAATGATTGTGATATCTAGAAAAGTAGTACATGCAAGATTATATTTAGACATTGTGCGTCAGATATAATTTGTGAGAAATGTGCGAAAATCTACGAGTTGTTTTTATATTTTTACGTCTTGTTTTAAGGATATTTTTATTCCTAAGTAATAGTTTCGTAAAAGATAGATAAAGCAAAACACATCAAATATCTGCAAGTATACAGCCATATGCCATTTTATCTTATCAAAAGTCTGATTTTAAGCAAACCTACGTTTAATAAAAAAAGAAAGAAAGAAGAATACTGCATTTTAAAGTTTGTTTTTCTCAATACTACTAGAAGTAAGAATATGTTTATATAAGTATAAATTATTCAATAATGAGCATTTAAAGTGCACATTTATATAAATATAAATATATGAAAAAACAAAATAATATTTGAAGATCTACAATTATTTCACATATTAATTAGATTAAATCATGAGGTAATGATCCAGCACGCTGTTATGTTCAACAGGAACTCAAAGTAGATGTTAAGGTAGATTAGCTTCGCTAACAAGTATTCGTCTAATTTTAAATTTTATTTAATTAAATACTCTTCGCACTTCTACAACACACTGTATTTGTATAACACACACTTATCATTCTCACTTTTTTGCAGTCTACTTTCTAACAAATGAAATGGATTCATAGCATAATACCAGCAATAAGTACGCTATATGTATAAATATCTAACTTTTCTCATCATTATTTAATTAGATACTAACGTATATTTCTCTGTAGAGTAACAGAAATCAATGTCTATCTGCAGCATGCAAAATAAATTCTTTCTATCATGTAATATGTATATAAATGTCATGGATATATATATTTGTTCTAACTATAATTAGAATTTTATAATTTCAAATTAAATTCAATTATCTCTTCTTCTCTGTCGCTGCAGATATCAATGTGTACTTATATACTACAACAATTAATATTAGAAACGAACCGTTCATTATAATCAAGAGTTACAATTTGATGTTAAAATATTCGGCAAAGAATTTGTGAAAGTTAAACAACTTTCTCTACAATAGTTGCGTGTTTTGTGCTATGAATCCTGCATTTAGATATCACTTTTGTTGCCTGATTGTTTCTTTCATTCTTCAGTAGAATAAAATGCAAAATATCCCTTTTCAATTACAATTCATTCACTTATTACCGTAACACACACAGAATTGTATATCTTATACTTGCTCTTAATTCACAAAATTCTCGAATAGTTTTTCATATAAAAAGATTTCTTTTTCTGCGTATATATATATTCTCAAAGAAAAAGCTTATCTTGTTTTATTATATAATTAAAACGCATGCTAGTATTAGCATGTGATATTGTACAATGTGTGCACGTCTCGACATATTTTCTTCCTTTAATATTATATCGATGTGACGGTTGAAAAATGTATATTTGCGATCTCGGCGACGGTTTTTGTTGAGGCAGAATGTTTTACGACTGTCATATCATATTCAAAAAAGCTATATTATATAATAATATACCATAATAAATATGAAATATTATATAATAGAAGACATGATAAAACGCGCCAACATCTTCAGAGCAGCCAATAATTATCAGATTATAACGATCTTGTACTTGTAAAGTTACTTGAATTGGAGATTCTATTTCATTCATATTAAAAGTATATCTTTGTTCTACACATAAGAATTCGTAATGATAGGAAAATATGTTCCAGCTCATTATGTTTCTTCAAAATTGTAAAATTTAATGTGACGTTATCAAATATTAATATAAAAATGAAAATAAAAATGTAGCTTGCAAATAATAATCAAGTATATCATTGACGACAAAATGTACGATAAGAGCGTAACACACTCTGTACAGATGTAAATATATCAAATTTCTCAATTTAAATAGCACGTGACCGCATTTTTACTCTCTAATATCACTTAGATATTAATTCATTTGTTCTTTTTTTTACTTACATTCTTTACACCCAATAACATTCTAGGCTTAATATTTGTTCTTTATTATCGAATAGATTGTGGATATATGTAAAACACATAAAGAACAACATTTTACTCAGCATTATCTTACTTAACTAATTAATATTAGCCTTTGTTACATTTCTCCTTTTTGTGATCAGTCCAAGTTGCACAACATTTTATGTACACGTATCACTCAGCTCCAGCGAATTTGCCTACTCAGATATTCACAATTTGTTCACTTTGTGATTGAATTAACTTTCAGATCCCTTTCGCTACAGTAAGAATTAATATATATGTATATGTGTACATGTGTACCTCCACTGCAATATTTCAAGCATTACGTACTTACAGTCCTAAAGCAGTCTTGGAAATTCTTTCGGGTATTAGGCATATCGTTGAAAAATCTGTATATTAATTTGTAATTCTTTTCTGTAAAATTAACTCAATAAAAAAAATGATATAAAAATAAATGAGTGTGGTTGATGTGATACATTTATAGGAAATATGTAGTGATAAATGCTAAAATAAAATTTTTACTGTCAGCTTAACCGCATAAACGGTTTAAAAACACTTTTTCTGGAGCTGATTCAAAATAGATTCATGTAAATCTACTCTTCCGATATGATACCGTAAAGTTAAATTTCAATTTAAAATAATTATGTCTTCAAAGTATCATCGACTTCTATAAGACGAATTTATCATAATTCTCCGGCTTTTGTTAAATTCAATAACACAAACACAAATTAAACTTTTATATTGCATCTTCTGACATTATTGATTTATCCAATATATAAATTATATGTTGTATTATAAACATGTTTATAATTTAACAAAGCTAAATCGTATATAAGTCTATTTTTACAAAGCGCTTTTCTGCCATTCTTGGCTCCACTTTGCCCATCATGTAGATACGAACACTATATTTTATACATAAGTCTAATAAGCATTTCGTGATACATTCAGGTTATACTTTACACATCAAGGATTAACATTGGGCATGAAGTGCAGACTGATAAATATACATAAATCAAATATTTATTGTACAATTACTACTACTTACATTGACAACCGAAAAGCTTGTTGAAAGTATTTTAAAGGAAACTGAATCCTTAAAGAAATTGCATATTTCTGCTTAATTCAGTGTGGTTGTTTTACAATCGTTACAAATATACATATATATACAAACTAAATATTACTTCTGTCGAACTGGATAAAGTTTCACAGTGCCTGATCCGTTGACTTGGAGAACCGCTCTCTATCACACGGTATGCGATAGGAAACTCACGAATGGCAAAAGAAAACGCTCGTTTTTGTGCGGTACATCACATGTACTCTTTGTCTTATTCGAATTCGGTCTTACAATATGTCGTAAGTACCTTCTTCGTAGATTTACCAGACAACTGTGTGATTAAAGTGTGAGTACAATTTAAACACAGTTCAACTGTGACATTTCAATTATGACGTCGGCTCAACTGACATTTTCATTTTTCACAGTCTATTTATGCATACGCTTCAATCTCCTGTATATCTGTAAGTCATTAAACTTGGCTAATTTGGCCAAATCTTAGACTATCCGTAGTAATCCATGAGATTATCTTTCCTAGTGTACAAGACGTTTCCAGACAAGTGGAATGGACTCTATAATTTGTTTAGTATCCCTTACTTTTTTTAACGCATTATACAGTACAACATACTACATCATATTATGCCGCGATACTACCACTGTTCGTTTTATTAAAGAAAGTTCATTCTTCCTTTGTTTTATCGATACACTCGATCGACGTAGCTTACTTAATTTTCATTCTGACCCTATTTATGTCTCACATACTATACACATGTCAACATAGACAGACCTATGAATGAGTGTCCACTATACATTTTTCTTTTAAAAGCACTTATTGTTGTGTCCATTCCTTAGCAAGAAGCTCAATCTATGTCTCTTTCGAGAAGATAGATCTGTTTTTACACGTAGGAAGGTCATGAAATGATAATAGCAATTAAAAATCACAAATGTTCTTGTTCTTTCCAAGTTTGCCTACTATGACAATCGTTGTCGCTTTGGGGAAGGACTTAATTCTGAATCTTCATCCTCCTCATCAGAATCTCCTTCGTAATCGACTAACCCCTGGAAATTCAATAAAATTAACCAACTCGCCTAAAGTGTAGGGATAAATCCAGGTTCAAACCCTGACTGAGGTAATATTTTTCGCAATAAATTTCTTTAATTAGAATTTGCCAGTTTGCGTCGTTTAGCAATTTTTCTACGTTAGCCGATCGTGTACTGGCGTCAAATAATTCTTTACGTTATCAATAAAATTAACTTAAAGTTATCTGTTGATGCGAATTGCAACGCAAATCTATGTAATTATCACATGGATTTATATATCAATAATTTTAGTTGCATATCAAAGCGATACTGTACGAATGTTTCAAATGTATGTATCACGTATCTCTTTTTCATTTTACCTTCTTAAACAGTGCCGTTCCCGTCTTTTCCACAGTGCCAATAGCCGGAGTAGGATTTATATCCGAAGCAATTGGTGATTCATTCGTTGTTGACGAGCTATTATTGATCTGTGGTTGTTGCGAGGTAATATTATTATTAGCAGTATTATTGTTTAATACAGACTGTTGCTGTTGTTGTTGCTGGTGACTTTTCGAGTCTGTAAAAATGGAACGGAGTACGAAATTTGTGGATGAGAATAGTATTTTAGCAGAAATTGTAAATAAGATCTAATGCTATTGCGACAACATTGTCCCACCTTCATCAAACTCTTCCTCTTCATTGAACCATAGTTCCTCTTCCTCGTCCAGCTGCCTCTGGTCCCTTCGGTACCGACTGTTCCGCAAAATTGATGGGACGCTACATATAAATAATTTCAATACATACGACTTTATGAAATAAAAATGATTGTACTATCAGTTCTTAATAATCTGTTATCCTCGTAATTGTAGCCTTTAGATTCTTTGTATTACAAGTGTAAAAAGATTACGAGTATAAAAGGAGACACTTCAATGTATATACCTGTCAATTGTGGTTCTATCACGATCTTTCAACTTGTCCTGATGTTGTTCATACCTTAACTTTAATGCCTTAAATGTTTGTACATAATCAATTGCTTCCAGTTCCTTGGAAAAGTTTTCAACAACGTGTGAACATAGCGACTTAATATCCTCCTGAAACATTATATGAAATATATAAATTTATAGTACAACAGTAGAAATGCTTTCTTATACAAAGCGAAAGTACCGACTACTCACCAATTTGATAAATTCAAACATTTCCAATATAGCCGAGTCTAAGAGATTGTATCTGCCATTGTTTCTTACAAATGCATCAAATACAGGTGCAAACAAGTTACCCTTAATTATATATCTATTATAAAACTCATCCTTTAATGCTATAATCTTTCTCATAAACCTTAATGCACATAGCACTAGAAACGTATGCGTTGACTTCATTAAAACCAGTATTCTTCTGAGTAAATCTTTATTCAATATGCAGTTTTTAATGTGGTACGTATGATGCTCCACACAGAACGATAACAATTCCAAGATCAATCCCAAGAGTTGTACTGTTCTGTAATCCTCTCTCGCGGGTCGCTCTCCGATCGTGTTTGCCAGGAGAGGGGCTATTAGGGTGCCGATACTATTCTTGTAAAAGTAATTTAAGAAATCAGTCTTTTCTGATTTGTTAACAGAAGCCAACATGTTCTCTGGGTCCAGAAGTAAACGTAGTACGCCGGCCAACTGCACCGCGCCACCCAACTCTGGGTCACTGTCCCCGACAAGTTGAGCAACTATTACATTCACTAACATTTGGTCCTGTTCAGTGTTATTTATCTGCTGTAATGTATAATCTCGTACAACACTTGGAGAGTATTCCACGATATAAGTCAATATATCTATACTGGCCGTTTTCGTCTGTGCATCGTTCATTGCCAAAGTGATTTCTAGAGCAGGAAGTATACCAAGTGCTGTTAACGTTTTATAAAACGCCTCCTTTCCCTGCGGCTGAAGGTTTTGCGAAAAGTTGCAAAATTCCTTTAGAAAAAGGACTAAGTCGCGTCTCTTGCTATCTAAGGTCGCTTCGTCCGTTAACTGACGAAAAAGTTCAGTAAGAAATTTCTCATCGTCCTGTATCAAAGTCACTATTTCAACTTTATTGAAGAATATAAAACTACTCAATGTACTCAGCATGTTGTCCTCGAATACACTCGGGGTTGGCAGCACTACGTCTTGAATGTATTGAACTCTGTATGTTTGATGGATTTTAGCTAGTAGTTCGGTATTGGTAATAGGAATTGCTTGTTTAAATCTGGCCAACTGTCGAAGATACTCTCTGTGCCTCTTTGGCTGCGATAACGTTGGCTCGTACTCCAGACAACCGACAACATCGAAAATCGTATCGTCGCTGAACATAACTTCAAACAGTGCATTCTTATTGAGTAAGAAAATATTTTTGAATATATCGTAAAGGTGATGTAATCCCTCAATATTCTCCAAATCCTCGCATGTACGAAAAAGATTTAGCAACTTTTTTATGTAACCCTCGGACTCTAGTGCCACTGCTAATTTCTCTTTTCTCATCGGGGACGCTAAGCAATTTTCTATCAGCTCGTTAATATCTTCCAATCGGCTAAGTTCGCACGGAGGTAATTCGATAGGCGGTGCCGCATCTGACATATCATCGAACCGCTCATCTTCCGACTCTTCCACGATATCCTGGGTGATTTCTACAGATGGATCCTTGCCTTGAACCTGACAAATCTTTTCCCATATCTCGTCACAGCCAGCCTTTTCTTGAAAACTTAGGGCTAAGTCGAAATTATCTCCTTCGGACCATACTATCAGAGTATCCTAAAATCATACATATTCACTTGTACATATCCATAAATGCATCACTAATTGCATATTTAAGGCACTAATGTGTATAATAATGTAGAAAAAAAGTACGACTCTTTCTATAAAAAAAAACATTCAATATTTTAGAATCGGAAAACAATTGCCATTAAAAATTCTTTTACCTCATTAAATTTTATAATAAGCAAGCTAGGAAAATACATTCATTTCGAGCCGGTTTTACCAACCTCTTGGCAAGTTAACAGTTAAATTATGTCTTTGTCTAATTTGAAGGAAAAACAAAGACCTACACATGAATTAACTATCTGTTAACTTATCGAGAGGTCGGTGCAACCGGCCCTTATTCACTCAATTTTCCCTCTACAAACATCTACCGTTTACCACCAGATTAGGAAAATTTTATGTAAAGTATCAAGTAACAGCGGTGCAACATTCAATCAATAACATAAAGATACATTTGAAAAGAGTTATATAGGACCCTCGCAAGAGTCGTGAAAGGAGCAGAATTTATGAGACTCTGTGATTACCTGTTGTTTCTGATATGCCGTATCCGGTTGTATTTTACTCTCTAGCAGGAGAGAGCCATCGCTCTCCGCTCTTACCAAGAGGGAAATCCCCTTTAATCTCTCCACGTAGGACGACGATACGTGACCCGTGCCGCGATCGTCCCATTGCCTATCTGCGTTAAGGGCATACAGTTTTACTCTCCTGCGTGTATCCGTCATGTTGTTAAAACTGATTTAGTACGCTCTCTTCGTATCACCAGCTATTCCGCATGCCTCCCCGGATTTTGCACAAGCTTTGGCTCTCCCGGCGGTCGTCTCTATGGGAGAACCCTCAAATACCTGTTGTAGCAACGAACGAACAAGAACCTAGATATGTTAGACTCCCGCATACCCTTGTACAGTCCATCAAGATCTACTGTTATTGCATCGTACGTGTGTGGTATAAACAAAACGTCCGGTCGACGCGCCAGTATCCCTCCGGGCGGAACGTCGCATCCAACGCTGGCGACTCTCAAGGCCGGGGGAGCCTCGTGGACGGCGTGCCGCGGATTACACAGTCAATCCTGGGACCCGATCGGTCGATCACATGCGTGTTCCATGTACGAGCGAGATTAACGAAGAACGTAGGCAGGGGACGCGCGTCATGGATGAAACGTGCCGTGTCTGTGCCTGTCCCAGGCCCTGTGCCCCGACGGCGCCTCGCGGTCGGCCCGCGCGACCGCTCGCGCTGGACGGGACCGTAGGCGCGATCCTCCCGCGGGAGACCGTCTACCCGGGAGGCGGATGGCGCGCGGGAAAAGTCGGCGTGCCCGCGACTCTCACGTGTCGCGGCGGCAGTCGCGACGTACCGCGATACGCGACAGTTAGACTCGTCGTCGCTTCGGCCGGCACGACAGCGCGGCACTCCAGTTTGGATACCGTCACTCCCGGCCAGTGAGCGCCGCGTGCGTGGCACCCTCCGCACAAGATTTCTCTTCCCGCGGCGGCGGCGACGGCGACAGCGACGACGATGATGGCAGCGGCAACGGCAGCGGCGGCGGCGGCGGCGGCGGCGGCGGTGGCGGCGGTGGCGGCGGCAGCGACGGCGGCAGCGGCAGCGGCGGCGACGAACGAGGGCCCGCGGTACGTGGTAGCCACTCCCGCGAAACGGGTGCCTACAGGAACACTAGAATCTCGCGCGAATACCCGTGACAGTCGCCGTCGGCTTGCCTCGCCGCTCGCACTCTCATCCCCCGTAGCTGCACCACTCTAAAATTGACGTAGACACCGAGCAGCCACAACACTACACTCCGCCATGATAGATCATAACAACGCGCCACGGGGTCCACCGCGCGCGACGCAGGGACGCGCGGCGCGAGATTCGAATCGGCCCCCGCGACACGGGGGCCGGAGAGAGAGAGAGAGAGTCGCCTTCTCTCCAGACTCCCAACGGGATTCCGTGCCGCCCGACGTCACGGTCAAAGATGGCCGGGCGGCTTCTCCGAGTGATGACTCGGGAATTAATAATGTCGACTGTTGCACTGCCCCGGTGCGTACGTGTATGCGTGCGTGTCCCGGGCACGTGTGCGCGTGGCGCTTGCATCATGAAATCCAGAGGGCCCGGTCTCGCAAATGTCGGTTAATTGCTAACTGAAGGTTAATCGAGTCTCCGTCTCTTCTTGGATAATAAATACAGAAAGAGACATGGAGTCCGACTGATCTCCGGTTAGCAGTTAATCGTCGTTCGTGAAACTGGTTATTCGACATCCTCCGAAGTGAACGGATCTTTTCTCCGGAGTAACGTTAAACGACGATCCTCCCCGCTGAAAACGAGACGGTAATCGTAGCGTTCAAGTCGTTGCACCGCGAGCCCTGCCATTCGATAACACGGCGTGAAAAATGGGATCGCTCTCGCGGCTGACGTCGTTACATCGCGATATCTCTGAGATTTACAACGTGGTAATGTAAATCGGCGTGTACCAGCAGCCGTCGCTCTTTTTCTCATTCTCATTTCGTACGTCGGATCCGCGGCGTTGATTTATCCGGGTAGGATCTTGTTATATGCGTGTATGCAATGAACGCGACTTCGCAGGGATCGCGGAAAGATGTGTGGGTAACGTGTACGGCTGTGTGCGACTGGAACGAGACGCGACGTGTGAGAAGAAAAAAAAAATTGATAGAGTCGCGACTGCCGCGCGTTCGAACGCGCTCTACGGCAAAAAATGTCGCAAAGATATCTGGGAAATATCCAAATATTACAATATCTGGTACGAAAAATTATTCAGGCACCGCTTGGATATCCGAGAGATGTCCCCCGGATTCTAAAAAGCCGTGATTATTTACATCCGAGATATATCTGATTTTATATCAAACAATTAGATACCTACATTTTGGCGAAAACGATTTTTACGTGTTACAGAATGGGCAAATGTGGTAAATATAAAGTATTTTTTTTTCTTTCTCAGTTCTGGCACAAATTATTGAGGCCTTTACTTTTTTGTACAACTTATATTTAGCTCTTTCGTTGTTTTTATCGTACTACCTATTTCTTTCTTGCCCGGATAAGTTTAGAAAACTTATTTTGAGGAAAGTTAAGTAATACATAATTATTTAAAAACAGGACAAATAATAAAAGTAAACATATAAACAATAATTTTTTAAAAGAAATATCAGAAATGTGATATCCTTAAGATCTTCAGGATATACGAGTATATCATCTACGAGATATTTCATATATGACTGAGATGAAATGTTATCAGAGTTAAGTCTCAGATATACATATTTTGCTGTGTGGGTCGCGACGCGTATTTTACACATGCACGCATAAATGCACGTGAACTTGATAAATTAGTCTATAACGTTGTTAATTTTGCAGAATGCTCTACCAGCCGCGACCCCAAAAACTTAAGTAAAAAGATCTGGTAAGCGGTCTGCACCTTCAAATGATGCGTTTATAAATATCTTTCGATTGATCAATAAAACTTGGCGGATGCAGCAATCGTCGGAGACGCCGTTGTCCTTCCGCGTCACGTGACCCGCCGCACCGATTGTTTTACCGTGCGCAGTCCCTTTTTCTCTTGCAAATACGTCAAACGTTACATATGCCTTGACAAAACTGTAACATTGCGTGTGTGATTAGATGTTCGCGTTAAATAATATATTCGTTAGAATATGATGATGCACTTTTTCTCTTAACATTGAATTAAATTTTCTTAATATCCGTTTGTCACTAGTAATAATTACAAAAGATTATACATGAATATTTGTATATGATCTAACATTGTGTAAAAGTTACTTGTAAATTGCAATTTTTTGTAACTGTTTCCGCTGAACGTAGCCAGTGTCGTATTTAGGATCAAAGCACAAACCCAGTGAGAAATGATTCGTCGATCGACGTCGACACCGTCGAATCGACATCGATTCGACATCATTTCGACGTATCATTTCTCACTGGGAAGCAACGTAATAGCATAGTACAACTAGTGTGCCCACTCTGTCATTTGTTTTGTTTCGCGCCGATCCTTTCTGCGCCTCCGCCATTATTTTGGTGCGGCCAATGAGACGGATGTCGTATATGCGGTAGTGTGACAGCGTGAAAGGATTTCACACCAAAGTAATGGCGGAACACCACGTGATCGAAACCGAAAAGATCAAAGGGGCCGACAAAGAGTGGACCCAATAGTTATACCAGAGAGAAACCTGAGAGCGGCCACGCCGGGCGTTTTACTTGATACAGTTTCAAGAGACTGTTTTTGCGCGCCTTTACGTCCATTTGTACTTCTGGAACCATTTCGTTATGAATCTTCCGACACTGCCGACAGAATCTCCACTTTGTGCGGGTCCATGGTACGCCTATTTTTCAGGATTGCGCTGTGAAATTCAAAATTACATTAACACAACTCATCTGCATGATATTTACATCAACTTTTCTCACGTAGACAATGTAAATTTTATAAATTATATGTCAGAATGCATAGCGCAGACGTGCACTAGGTGGAAATTTTATCGGTAGAGTCAGAAAATGCGTAATGAAATAGTTCCAAAAGTAAAAATGGGCGTAAGAGCGCGCAAAACAGCGTCAAGTAAAACGCCGGAGCGTGGCCGCTCTCAGGTTTCTCTGTTCTTACTAGGTCTGTTCGCGTCGCAGGCACCATATGCTCCTGTTTGTCCCAACGACCAATACTGTCATTTTATTTACGATTTAAGTGACGGCATTGGTCGTTGGGGCAAGCAGGAACATGTTGGAGTATGCGACGCGAACAGACCCACTACGATAAAATGACACTGGGACACTCGAGCGGTGTTTTCGAACACAGTCTCCACTCTTACATCTAGAACTAGGTGTAACCGAGAATCGATATATACATGTATAGATAAATAAATTACCTTTAATTAGCGGAAATGATTGTCTTGCTTATCGTGGTATCATGGCCGATGGTTTAACGAAAAGATGAGACAGACATAGCATATTTACATAATAATATAATTATAAATGTACATAAGAATTTTTTCCATATATTAAAGCTTAGGGATAAAGGTACTCAAATATATTTTTATGCAAAGAATATGAAATTAACTTTAAGGTTTCACATAGTTTCGCGAGAAATATTCCCACGCGGCTGTAAAGGTTACTACATAGAGAAGCAAGAAAATTTGTAATTATATACAGGTAAACACGTTTATAAATCTCAAAATTAAAACGTCAATGGAATTTAATCTCTTGCATTCCATATATACTCTGGTAATCCTTTACAAAAAGAAAGACGAAAAATTGTCATTCTTATAAAATCATTCTTCCGTGTAATGATTACTGGTAGTAAGACTTCAGTTTGTAATTTGAGTCTCAAGCTTTCAGTCTCGGTTATTACTAAATCCTGGATTTAACAATCGCTAGATTTATTTATAAACAGTTCTATCTGTGCTTAAAATCCATTAACTGACCATTTACCGAATGGGACATCATTCAACAAGGCTCTCGCGTCACCGATCACAAAGTCCAAACCTTAGCTTTTACAGTTCCTCAATTGTTGGCCGCTTGCGTTAATTGAGGCCGATGATAAACCAAGTTAAAAACTATTATGTTACATAAGTTATCACACAATTTTATCTTTATTTATTCCGACGATGGAGATGAAAATTTTTGTAACCTACGTTTGCGCAACATTTCCTGTTCGCTTGAAGATTCAGTCCTAGATAAATCTACTGTATCATTAAATGTTGACGCGTCTTCCTTCGATATACTCGCAGTAGAAGTGTTTTCCTTCGATGTACTCGAAGAGGGAGTGTTTTCTATTTTAACTTGAGAACTGTCGCTGACTCCAGTACTGACTCCGGCATTTGTGTTTGCTATGCCGCTTGGCCCTGGTTTTGCCGTCGAAGTCATATCCGATGTATTATCGATATTGCTCGTAGGATTATTGTTCACAGGAATGCTGCAATGTTGGATCGTTAACGAATTACATATACATGTTTTTTTTTATAGAATATTATACTCACTTAGCAGTAGCAGCCGCTGTTTGATATTGATTCATCATTGCATTGGCTGCATCTAATAAAAGTTGAATCCTTTGCAGCGTTTGTATCCTGGCTTCAACAGCTTGCCGCAAATTACCTTCCATCGCTCTGAGCTCTTCTTCGCTCAGTTCGATTAAATTCGGTGGTGGCACGGGCATAGGTGGCAATGGTACTATTGTGGGAAATAGCGGCGGGAAAAGCGGAATATTTCCAGCAGGTGGTATCGGATTTTGAGGCGGGGAGGTGCTTCCAGCGCTATTCTGAGGTTGCTGCTGTTGCTGCTGCTGTTGCGGTGGTTGCTGCTGCTGCTGCTGTTGTTGCGGAGGTATTCCTGGAGCCGGCAATCCAGCCCAAAATACTGGGAAATGAAAGGGTGGTCCTACGTCAAGTAATAAAAATATATTAAAAACAGATAACAACCGATCTCGTATACAAGACGCAAATCTAAGAAACAACGCGAAATCACACCAATAGGGTTGACACCAGGTGCTTGCGGAGGTTGCGGAGGCACCTGCGGCACAGGCTGGGGTGGATTTTGTTGCCGAGGTGGTGCATTGTTCGGCGTAGGCCTCAAGATGTTCAAACGGCACGTCGGACACGTTTGTTGACGTTGAAACCAAGAGCGTAAACACGCGGTATGGAAGATGTGATTACACGGCAATTTTTTGCTAGCTGTGACCATCTCCTCTCTGCGCGAGAGCATAATGCGTTAGGTCACGTCTGTATCACGAGATGACAATCGTATTCATTGCAATACCTACCGACATATGATGCAAACGTTATCGGCAGCGGCCAGTTCCTCAGTCGTCGCGTCCGGGTAAAGGGTGTTCATGTTCCTAATAGCTCTTCGAGACATCACAATGTCGTGGAATGCCTTCTTGAAGTCTCGCATTGTGTAGTACATAGGACGCAGAGCAAATAAGGGCAGCGTAAACAACTTTATCATTAGGGTTACGAAAGCGACGTAGAGGAAAACCTGGAAGAAAACACCTGGCTTAATTAAAAGATACACGCACATACGTGTGTACAGAGTCGACGTACGTGACACAAGATTTTCGCGCCAGTTACCTTTAATATGCCAATAATTAATTCGGTGTACAGCAAAAATACTGGCTTGTTGTCCCAAGGAGTTTCGCTCTGCAGGTCGAGAGTATGCAGGATATATTTCACGGCGATGTTGAAGACAACAGTGAGCAAGATCGCGTATTCGAAGCCGAACACAAGCTGTACGGAGGGGCCTTTAGTGGCTGTTATATGGTAGGCGTACTGGATCATCGTCAGATTGATGGCAAGTAAAAGACTCAGTAAGGTAGCGACCCGGAGATGGAACAGCCATGTTATTACCGGACTCCTTTCCATCTGAAAGGCGAACGTTAATCAGCTGACAAAAGATTATCGATACGCAGATATACATATACAGAGCACCGACACGTCACGTGGAGTGTACCGGCTGGCCGATACTGCGAGACTCACATAATCAACGCGATCCTCCGCGAGCCAGTGAAACGACTTGAGGAACAGGAGGAGGGTGAATAACGCTATGAACTTGGGGCTGAAGTCGTCCCTGAACACCGTGAACGCCAGGCACGTCTCCGTCACGGCGTACCAGACCTTCTCCACGAGGTGCTGCAAACGACAAGGCGAACGTTACACGAGAGTCCGAGACGTGGCACAACGCGCGGGAGGGGGCCCGCTCTCACCTCGAGCTCGGCGGCGCGTAGAGTGCCGAAGAAGATCTTCCGCAGGAAGGCGTTGATCATGAACGCGAGGATGAACCCTTGCGTGTAGATCACCTGGGCACAGAGCAACGCATGTATAACGGCGTTCTCTCAGAGAACGTTCAACGGAAAGGCTTCAACTCACGGTCATGCTCGGATTCGACTTGGTTATGTGAACGACGGTCGGGTAGAACTGTTTTCTCTGATAGTACGCATTGCCGATAACGACGCACGTTAGCGCGGTGCTTATCAGCATGATCCCGGCCTCCCTCATTTTCGTGCCGGGCGGCTCTCACCTGGCGGTCCGTGCGCGCCCACCCCGTCCACCCGGAGCGGAGAAATCGCTGACACTTGGCACTGTCGCACCGAGAATTTTCGATCGTAGCTCGCCGCCACGCTCTCCCCGACGATCCCGTACACCACCTCGACTCGTAGCGCACGACTGTACGATACAAACGTGCACACGTATGCGGCGCGTGTGCGCGTGCGCGCACGCACACAACGCCGCGCCGCCGAGTCGGTATTAACGTGGCGCGCCGACACACCACGACGGCGATCGGTAATCGCGGCAATCTTCGAACGGCCGCTCGACCGCGCGCGCGGAACTACGTGTTTTAAAGGCAACGAACGCCCCCGTCCCCACCCCCTTTCTCACTTCAATCAACGCGTTTAATTAGCGAACCGATATCGCGATTCGTTATCAGCCGTAATCGCCGCGTCGTCCGCCTACGTGACGCGAAGTGTCAACCGCGATGTTGTGACAGCACGCGAAGGACAAGCGGCGCCACGTGATTGGTCACGCGTACGATCGCGCCGCGACCGTTGAACCACGTGGATCGCCCTCGCCCGGGTAAGCGCCAACGTCGCGGTCATTTAAACGGGGGGGGGGGGGGGGCGGAAGAAAAATCGCGAGGGCGTATACGCAAATATTAATAACGATATAATTAGTCTCATTGTAGTATGGATACAGCCACAAGTCGAATGCCAGTTGTGCTGATTTGCGGTACATTTTAACGAGCGGCGTTGCGATATTGCGTGTAAATCTAAGTTTGTCATCGAATGACAATGAACGTAATGAGGGTCGTACATTTCTAATGGAGAGCGCAGATATTCGCAATGACTAGTCTCAAAGATATTTCGAATAACGCTTTCGTGCCTTTAGCCTTTAAAAAAAAGGGTAAATTTGCTAGAGAACATTATATCCTGCGGGGGGAGAGTGAGATTACGTAGTCGGCGTTCGCTCGAATCACCTTTTTTCAAAAATGTGATTTCGAACGCCCAGATATCATCTGTTTTATTCGCGACTATTTCTTGCATAGTAACTTCTATATATTCTACTAATATAAGTATTCAATATATTAAAAACACCACAAAACAATATCGATTATATATCAAAGAATGTATAAAAATTATATAGCTTCTTAAAATAATATATGTATATATATGTGTGTGTGTGTGAGACTAATTCAACATAGAGTACTTATGGTTATACTCGTTGTTACGTGTACATACTGAGAGCTCGTGTTTTCAAGATACTTTTGGGACTCTGACGTTTTGGGGTGCCTAAGTGCGCCGTTGCCTTCAACGGCGTTCTACGCGTGTCAACCGGCGGCCTACGCACCAATTTCGAACTTTTCGGCGTTTTTACTGTCAAGGGTCGCTTAATGTGCGGGGTTTTGCTAACGTCCGACTTGTAGGGAGACATATTTGGATTGTCTAGCGTTGTACCGACAGGCATCTTCGTCAACGGCGATCCTTTGGCGGCGACGTTTTCCTTCTGATGAATCTTCGCGTCGTTAATCCCTTTATCCTTGACGAAAGTCTGAGCCGTATCCTTGTTCGAAAGTTTCTGACCCTGCAGCTCCAATTTCCGGACGGAACGGTAATGCTCGTTCAATCCTTTTTGAAGTGACTTTAACGACGTGTCCGCCACTTGCGTTTTAATCTGCGGCGACGCACTTGGAGATAGCGCCGCGTGGCGATTTTTATTCTTCGAATCCTTGTTGGACTTTTTTCGGGAGAGCTGCGTCCTGTTGCAAGCTTGCTTGAAATGTTCAGCGTCCATTTCTTTAGCTACATTCGAAGAGTGTTTAGTTACATTGTCGCGACAATGCTTTCTATTTGATACGTTACTCAGTGCGATCTCGGATGCTTTCGTCGTGCCCTCGTCAAATAATCTCGCCTTGGCCAGTACCATACCAGCATTCTGCGTTCGAAGTTTCGCGACGGATGCTCTGCCAGTCTGTGGAACGGGTGTATTTGTCCGGGACACCGATTTGAAATATTTATCCGCATCTTTCCAAGACATCTTGTTCGAGCCCTCGAAGACAGTCTTGTCTTTTTGTAAACAATCGTTATTTAAGACTACATTTTGATGACTGTTCGCCTTTTTTAAGTCATCAATCTTCTTATCGAAATAGGATGAATTATCTACAAAATCTTTTCCATGAAAAGATGATGCTCTACGCACAGACGTGGTCGTTTGATTGTTCAATTGTAGATCTTTAAATCCAGAAAGATCCAAGTCGCTGTTACTTTCAATTTTGCGTTGTTCGTTTGAACGAGAAATCAATGTGTTGATTTCATTGTGTAAACAAGCTATCTCATCTCTCATATTGTCCGAAATATTTCCATTACATCTTTCAGTGGGATGAGATTGCTCTTCTAAGTATTTACTAGAATAAACGTTTACTTGTCTTTTGAGTGGAATGTGATGTTGCAAGTTAAATTCTGGAGCAGTATGCCATGATGCGGATCTTCTGACACGTTTGCTGTAAGCATTGAAATAATAGTTATGCAGGGTGAAGTATACATCTTTTAACAAAACTCGTGAGAAGGTAGAACGGACTGAGATAAATTATATTTTTTAAGTGGAAATTTAAATACTTTTTAACAAGATTTTGAAATATTTTAATTATTACGATTGTTAATATTGCATTAAAGAAATATTGCAATTAAATGTGATCCAATTACCTCGTGATTTTCTCTTGCGAACGTCTTCTTAACGATCCAATTTTTCTTGCGCTGGGAGATCGTATTATTTTATGTTCGCCCGACCTTCTGATCTTTAACTCTTTACTCAGTCTTTTTGCTAGATAGTCGTTCGTCAGAGTATTCTCGATACTAGCCTCTTCTAATGTTTTCTCATACGCTGTCTGTATATTGCTTAGCGAATGCGTAGTTATATCATTCTTCTCGTTGTATATACATCCAAACTCTTGCGAGATACGCGACTCAATCGCGGAAACTCGATTCTTGATGTCCTCGTATTCACTCTTAGGCACTCTGACATAATCTTCTTCGCAGTGATCGCTTGATGAGGATATTATGTCACCGCTAGGAAGAAATGTATCGAATTCCTCGGAATCAGTCTTTTCCTCAGGCGTGAGCAGGCATATATTATCACTTTCGTCCGTAGCGTCCAATTTTCTCGAACTTGTGCTCATATTCATACGCCATTGCTCACCACTTCTACGACGACTCTTATTCATAAGCAAGTCCCGCTCGCCACTATCGTCTGACAAATCCACAGTGGCATTAATGAGGACATCGTTGTACTCTTGGCGAAAATCACCGCTCGGCGGTTCATCATAATTCATTAGTCGCAGATCAGGTATTTCATCGTTGTATTCGCATATCTTGTGTGCATCGAAAGAATTGCTTACTGAACTCCAACGTCTTTCATTACACGCTTTGTAATTGCCCGTATACGAATCTGACAAGTTACCATCCACGTTCTTCTGAAAGTATTTAAAAGAAAATTATTGTAATTAAATTAACACTTAATTAAACAAGCCTGATACAAATACAACTGTAAGATCTTTCAAGATTTGTTTAGCAATATTAATTTAAAACGATTTTCCATCTTATGCATCAAAGTATGGTAACGGATATACTTACTTGCTTATTCTTAGGTACAAATTTGTCTAAACTCAGTCTTAGTTTCTTTGACTTTTCCAATTTATCGGCCGTTCTTCTAAAACATACGTTGTACGTATTATTTCGCGTCAACATTGTTTTAAATTATATATAAAAATTTATATGTGAGAAAAACGGCACACAACACAACAGCAAGAAAACAGGCTGTCTCATTACTTTTTCTTTATACCCGGAGGCGGTTCCTTTTCAACCACTTTCCGCTTTTTGGTAAATTTGTTCGAAACCATATTTAACTGCACTGGGTGTACGGGAGACTGCGGATGATTAACGTTAGGTGTATCATCTGTGCCTTTTCCAACCATCTTCTTCAAACCGTGGAACATTCCTGTGTAAAACATTACATCCCTCATGTGTAAAGGCCTGTGTCCACGATGTTAGAACTTGGGGACGCAGTTCTTGAGTCGGCGTATGCTAGAACTTGGTCCAAGTTCTCGTTCATGTGTAGCCAATCAATTTACAGCTTTAATGGAACAGCTGCAAGTTGATTCGCTACACATTTCTCGAAACTAGAACTTGGACCGAGTTCTAGCACCGTGGACACAGACCCTTAGGCATTATTATACATATGTATACAGATATAACAAAAGCTGTAAAAGTTTAAATATGATCTAAATTATATAACGTTACAAAACAAAGACGAAGTACATTTAACAAATATAATAATGTGTGTTGTTTTAATCTCTGTTAATCTCTTAACATTGTCAGATATGCTTAGGTAAAACTTGAGAATACGACTTACGTGTGAGACTTCCACTACGATGCTTCTTCTTTTTATGCTTCCTGTGTAGTTCAAACGAGTCCAGTCCATTGTCCGTGCTGCCGCTTGTTTCGATGGAAACACTTTGAGCGATATGAGGCGGTAAGACGCCGATATCCTCCGAATTTTCAATCAGAATCTGTAACAGAGTTTATTTCAGGTAACATCCGCTCGTTTACGATTTATCGATACTCCGGCAAATCTGTACTACCTTGACAATAGTTAAATGCATTAGCAGTCTGTTCTGCACGGCCGACATGGATGTCTCTTGCAGCGGCATGATATTCGGCCCGATGACCTTCGCCAGGTTCTCGACGCTCATCCTGTTCTGCTTCTCGTACATGGAGACCTTCTTCAAGAACTCCATGAGGAACGCCAGGGTGTTGAGGTGATACGTCGGCAGCAGCGTGCACGCCAGCAGCAGCGCCTGCATCCGGTTGTTCTTGAGCAGCGCGCAGTGCAGGAAGAGGTCGTGGTACGCGTACGGGATCAGCGGCTCGGGCAGGTCGCGGAGGAAGGACTTGAGGCAGTTGGCGATGTCGACCGCGTGATTCTTCTCGCCTAGATCGCCGCCGCAGTCCACGCGGGCAATCAACTCCCTCTGTCGCGCCTGAGAGCCGGCCTTTCTGAACAGGCCCTCCTGGGCGACGTGGCCCTCGAGGAACGTCGTGGCACGGATCACGAACACGGGCACGTGGACTATGGCGCCCGACGACAGGCTGACGATGTCCAGGGCCTGATAGTACAACGGGGTCTTGAAGACCTTCTTGGGGACGTCCCCGCACGCCTCGGGCCTCTCGCTCTTCAGCATGCTCTTCTTGAAGCGGTACTTGACCCCGCGGCTCCTGAGATCGCTGGCGACCGCGTGATACACCCTCTCCTTGTGCAGCACATCGTAGATCAACATCCTCGACGGCGAGGCCGTTGACAGGTCGACTCCTCGACGAGGTATTTGACAATCACACGTCGTACGGGCGTCCCCCGTCACTCGCATCCCTCGTCGTCACCCGTTTTCATATTGAAAATTGACAACTGTTGACAACCTCCCAGTGCCGCCAACGTCACGATCGAGAACCCCTAGCCGCGTAAAGGCGCCATCGCAACGTCGCGCGCGCGCCTCTTCTCCCGCGCGTTCTTTCGAAAGGAAACAAATGGTTCCGCGTTCAGCGGAAAAAGTTGATTTCCCCGACTCTCGTAAAAATCCTGGCCCGGTATTCATAGTCGGATCTTATATTCAAGACCGTCTTAAGATCTGGATACTACCGAGCCAATGAAATGTTCTATACAGCATCTTTAGATAAATTCAAGACGGTCTTGAATATAAAAGATCTGACCAGAGAGAAACCTGAGAGCGGCCATGCCGGCGTTTTGCTTGTTACCGTTTTCGCTCGACTGATTCCAGCGCTTTACGCCGCGAAAGCAACGCGCCGAAAGGAGAATATTAATTTAAAAAACTTTCTGTATTACAAATCAACTTTTTATTTTTACTTCATAGTCCGTTCTTATATTTAAGATCATCTTAAGTATACTCTCAATGTGTTTTTAACCAATCACAGAGCCGTATTAGTCTCTTAAGACAACACTTAAGATGATTTTAGGCTTGTTTTCTGTTGCTGCACTGGTGAATTAGTGCAATAAGCTAGAATGAGAAAAAATATACTTGCTTAAGCCCGTATCAGACTACGGATTGGGATTGGAATTAGATTAAAATTTAACCAAACGCAGTAAAGTTTACTAATCTCAAGTTCAGTAACTTTAAAGCCCGTATCAGACTACGGATTGGGATTGGGATCAGATTGAAATTTAACCAATCACAGTAAAGTTTACTAAGCTCAAGTTCAGTAACTTTTACTCTGATTGGTCAAATTTCAATCTAATCCCAATCCCAATCCGTAGTCTGATACGGGCTTTACTCTGATTGGTCAAATTTCAATCTAATCCCAATCCCAATCCGTAGTCTGATACGGGCTTTAAGCCTTGTGTCCACGATCTAAGAACTGTGTTTATTATATGTTCTGGTTCCAAGAAATGTATAGCCAATCAGCTTGCAGCTTTTCTGCAAAAGATGCAGGTTGATTGGCTACACATTTCTTGGAACTAGAACTTGGACACAGTTCTTGGATCGTGGACACAAGGCTTTACTCCAATTTATTGCGCTAGTTACCAGTGCAGGAATAGAAAACAAACCTTTTGAAACAAGAATCGACCATGAGTACCGGCCTAAGTTTTTCTCTCCGTATGTAAAACAACGAAAAGTTAACGATCCTATCGTTAATAAAACAGCGCGGGGTGTCACTCGATAAATCGATTGCTAACGAAATTAATGAGAGTCCGGTGGAGGGCCAATATTTCTTGCGCGAAATATAACGTATATCTCTCGACTGCACACCGTAATTCCGTCGATGAATCACGCTACGTGTCTCCACATGCGCAGCGGCCTTTAGCGACCAGACTCGCCGTAGGGATCCGCATTATCCGCTGTCAAGTGTCAGTGCCGTGCGTGTGCTGGTCCACGCGATTTCTCTCGACCTCGAGCTCGCGGCCGACTTCGCAGGATGTGATCCTTCGCCGCCGACTTCGGGACTCCGCGGGCCTGCCGTTCTCCGACGCCGTATTTTTAGGACGCGACCGGAGTTGGAACGAGGCGAGGGGCGGGCATGACGCGCGCGTGACGAGGGGATCGTCGCCGTCCGCTGCCGTGGAGGTCGCTCGGGGGGGAGGTCACCCGAGTTCGGGCCGTCGCGCGTCGCACCGAAGCGCGGGGTGGTCGTTTCCCACGCCGGCCAGGTGGCCCCGACCATCGATCGGGAAGCATGCGTGTGCACGGATACGTGAGCCTCGCTCGTCGCGGGACTCGGCGCTCCGGCGTGGCGACGACCTGGACGCGCCCGCGAGGTTAGGTGACACGCCCCCGCGACCACAGCCATGAAGAGCCCGGTGACGTCCCAGCGCCTCAACGGGACCAGCCCGCAGACGCCAGGCGGCGCGTCCAAGTCCCGTCACGGCGGCGCCGCCAACAGCTTCCAGGTGGTCAAGGTCGCCGGGCGCGAGTCCGGCTGCTACATCGCCAGCAACATCGCGCCCAAGGTCGGCAAGCAGCAGCTGGTGTCCCTCAACGGGGACACGGTGCGCTGCGACAGCGTCAACGTCGACGAGGCGCTGGCGTGCGATGTGGCGCCTATACCGGCGGCTCGGACCAAGGCCCTGTGCGTGCACATCAGGGAGAACAAGTGGTACGACGCCGGCAACGTGGTCTCGGTCGGGGTGGCGGGTACCAGCCTCAATCGTGCACTGGAGAGCATGTCCCTGGCCTACAATCCCTCCACGAAGCAGCTCTACTCCGTGGAGGAGGCCAGGACACCTGGCAATGTACAGTCGCTCGACTGCACCACTCAGTATCTGGAGTCTCCGTGTAACGGTAAGGAACATACGTCAAGTGCGAACGCGGACAAATATACCAAGCTCGACAACGCCAGTGCGAACAGTAGTCCGAGAAATAGTCTGCCACGCTCGTGTAGCAGCACAGTGTCTTCCCTTAGCGAGATATCACCTTCCGGCAGCTTTCTAGGATCCGACGAGCAGCACATCGTGGAGAAGATCGACAAGATACCCAAACGCTGGGGACTGAACGCGCTTTTTACCAAGAATGTGTTTTCGTGGAAGAACAAAGGTTCCCAGCAGTCGACGCCTGCCGGTAGCCCCTCGAGAAACGTCGACAAGGTAGGCGGTAGTACAGCTTTAATTCAACAGCCGAGACCAGCGAATTTGCCAGCTAAAACTGCACTGGAAGAGGAGCGCCATCGTAAGCAATACAGTGCTATTTTAGAGGCGGCGAGGAAGAGGGAGTTGCGCGAGGAGAAGGAGCGCAAGCAGCAGCGGGAGTGTCAGCTCAAGGAGGAGAAGAGACTGGCCGAGGACTCCAACACGTGGAACGTGCACGTTTTGTCCAAGTTTGAAAGTGTGAAAAATACAAAGAGAGTGAGGGAACTGTGGTGGCGCGGCCTGCCGCCGAGTGTCCGCGGTAGAGTATGGAAGTTAGCTATTTTGAATAATCTGAATGTAACGCCGAACCTCTATAATCTTTGCTTAGACAGGGCGATGTCGTGCCCCAACAACGAGTCGTTAGCCGCTATCAGATTAGACGTGTCTCGTACCTTTCCTACCTTATGTGTCTTTCAAGAGGGTGGACCATTATTCGACAGCCTTCAGGGTATTTTGGCAGCGTATGCCGTGTACAGACCGGACGTGGGCTACGTGCAAGGTATGAGTTTCGTGGGTGCTGTTTTATCATTGAACATGGAACCACCGGACGCCTTTGCCTGCTTCGCGAATCTGCTGAATCATCCTTGCCACAGAGCCGCCTTCACATTGGACCAAAAACGAATGAATACTTACTACAAAGTATACTCCAGTGCTCTTGCGCATAAGCTGCCAAAAGTCTTCTCCCATTTTACCGTGGCCGGATTGAGCCCGGACTTGTATCTACTAGATTGGTTGTATACTATATACGCTAAGGCAATGCCCCTTGATGTCGCATGTAGAGTCTGGGATGTCTTTCTCAGAGACGGAGACGAGTTCCTCTTCAGAACCGCGCTGGGAGTGTTGCACTTGTATCAGGAGGAGTTGTTGAAGATGGATTTCGTACACGGCGCACAATTTCTTACCAGATTGCCGGAGAATCTGCAGGCAGAATCCTTATTTAACAGTATTGGTCAGATGTCTACTACTGTTGGGACGACAACATTCCAGCAAATGTTGCTTCAATATTCTTCGTAATTTTGCGTAGCGAAGGTATAGCAAAATTTAGCTTTTCTTATTGTGATAACAAAATGTTTGTGCAAACAATTTTGTACATTATTTATCATCGTTATCGGAAGTTGAACATCTAACGCAACTTGTCTGAAATTTTTCGTATTAAAATACCACGATTCGCGTTGGCTCGAAAATAATTTGCACTAAATGTTTCAGGGATGATGCATGAAAATGTCGTCTCTCATCTTTTAGAAAAATATTTATTCTTTACTTTTAAAATATGACATAAAAATATAATGTAGAGATTAATTGCACAGCAGATCAGAGGGACGATTTTCACAAATTTATGACAAAAATATATTTTTGTTATGAATTTCTGAAAATTACATATGAATGGACAAATTTGTTAATGGAAATGATATTTTCCATGTAGATAATTGATCGATTGTTTAGTTGTAGATATGTTTTTTACAACGAATGACACATTGAAAAGAAAATGATATATGCAATATGATAACACGAATGCTCTATTAATAGATATATGTATACTCGCTTTACATTTTAGTATTTTTTGAAACGTTATATATTTTAGATTTATAACATCTTGAAAGTACCTTTCGAAAAGCAAAAGAGAATATTATAAGCTAAAATTTTAACTTGTCCGAATGCATGTATTACCTTGCGTTTCTATTTTAGTTTTCATCAATTTTTATTGCAGACATTTATGGTAGATTTTTCGTAATTTGTGGATATACAAGTATCCGAAATATCAATCTTGCTTCACATACGAATATTACCATACGTGTAATGTTGCACGTCAGCTCTGAGATACATTTCATCTATTCATTGTGTATCCTCTCAATTTTTACACTCTCTTCAAGACTGAAGGGAGATATACATATATATACTCAAATACAACAATATTATTCAGCTGCAGCACAGGTATTGTCCTTATAAATATGCATTCACGAATTTAGAATTAGTCGAGATAAAAAAAAGAAAGGTTTTTGCTGCATAACATTCAATTGCTGTACTTAAAATTCTGGACATGCTGGTATTTCTGACGATACACCATATAACCGATGAAACGGTCGAGATTACGTGCCAGGAAATGTATTTTGTCATCGATTATCGGCCACAAAAAAAGCGGAGCTAAATAGTGCAAACATACAATTAAATTAAAACATTTCTGAGATTTTTTTCTAAGTAACAAAGTGTAACATTTGCCTTGCCAAAAGCATACAGGTTATAACAGCGCACTTTTTTGTCAAATAAAGTTTTCTCATATGATTAATTACAGTTTCCTGCAGTTGGAGTTCCTTCCAACGCGAATCAATGCATGCTGCTTGCATTATTTCGCTTCGTTATTTTTAGTCTTTGCAATCACGTGTCAAGTGTTGAATATGAGATTATTGCGGTGAAGCGCATGGTAAAATGTTTATGGTATACAATAGACGTTTTGTTGATTTATACGTTTTAAATTAGCGTACGGATAATATATCTTTTACTGTCGTCACGGTGTGGCAATTTATTCAGTTTCAACTAGCGAAATCTTATCATATTCCCATCTTTTGAGTGGCCTTCATAATGAAGATAAGATAAATTCGAGATTTAAGAGCGTGCGAATTATGCAATTGTCGAACTTTATTCTCTAGGAGGAGGTAATCTCACAAATGTATTTTCATACAACCGCAATATGCTTATTGTGAGTGTGCTTGTTGTATAACCGCTCTGTTTAGTACGGATGTGCGTAGAACGAAAAAGATTTTAGGTCTCAACAGTTCGAACAGATGATTCCAACGATCGGCCAGCCCTGATGTTGCTATCCATGATATTTCAGAATGATAGTCACATTACATTAGGCTCACATACAGCGTAGCTTGGGTGCTTGAGAACTATGCGAAAGAATATAGAAATGTATCATCATCGATATAAAATTGTATTCAAACATATATATATATATTTCTTTTATATAATGTGAGCAAGGTTTAGGGGAGAATGATAGAGCTGGAAGCATCTGCGGAAATACTAGTCGTTAGAAACAAACAGTATGACACAACTGTCGCGGCTCGTTAAGTTCTCATTTATTTTTACGAGGCGAGATTATCTACAGAGTAACGGTATATATTGTGACGTTTTGGTTGTACCTATGTGTTTATACCCGTGCGTTTTTATATATTATGCGATAATTTGCACGACCGGCGTGCAACCAAATGGATGTGCTTCTCAACGACACCGTATACATAGTACATGTTTTATAGGAAATATGTGATTCTCACGTATAATCGTATATCAAGATGCGCTCGTACGAAACGCGTCGGGACGTGAGACGTGAGCGAGCTCACGTGTGTAACATATATTCTAGTTTTTAATCGACAATACTCTCATTCCATCCATTATCCCAAACTACTACTTAGCGTTCATGAACAATACATAACGAATAAGTTTATAGATCTATATAAAGAGAGCACAAATGGATGAGACGTAATTGGGACACGGATAAATTAAATGATTTCGTAACTTGCAATACTAAATTGGGAATCTGCGTGCGTAGATCAACAGCTGCGTTTATTTGCGACCAATTTTCTCCCTCTTTTTCTCATCAAAGTAAAATTATTAACAATCAGATTTGCAATAAATAAGACATTAATAGTTTAATACTCACGAGTTATTAAAAATTGAGATTTTTAATTCAATCGTACGTGAAATTTTATACTGATTATCAAAGTTTCTATGTATTAAGTGGCCAAGATATTTAAGAGTGCAATTTAAATATCCACATTTTATATATGCCTCTGTTATTTCGCATGTCTTTTAGCTTCGGGAGAGAGATTTTATAAAGAAACCTTATGAATTTTATCTATAACGATGGCAATATAGTAAGCTTTAACTTTTTCTTCCTGATTAGTTTCTTTCGTTTTTGTTGGATGAATTTCGCTTGTGTTCGTACACGTCTCGATTAATTATATCGTTTTAATAACTAGATCGCATCTGCGTGTATACCTTCTGTCTCGGACATAACGTAATTACCTTCGTGAGACGATCGACGACGATGTGCCAACCGTATCAAAGTTGTAAAGAAATGTATGGAAGATCACTTGTGCAAGTGCTGTCTCCGTGCTAGCGCAAATCGATTACCAAGTTTTGTAATTATTAGCGTCACGTTATGCGGTTGGCTAGCGAATATAGTACATTGCAGTCACTTAATTTGTCAGTGACGGACGGCAATGTCATCGGAATATATAAGCGACAAAAAAAAATAATGCGACGTTTATGTCCAAAAATAACTGTATCCGTTACACGAGGTGAAATGCGAGGATCTTATAATTTGTCCGCCTTATCGATTTAACGATCGCGTTATAATTACGAATGCAAGTTGCTGCAGCCAGAAATGTATGTATGTATGTGTAATTGGATTGTTACACGTGACGTGTGCTTGTACGTGTATTGATTGCATTGAATACCTGTAGGTATATCTACGTTCTTAGACAACTGAGAATCCGTACGAGGGAAATGTGCTTTTAAATGCGCAATTCTTTAGTTTTTCCTATTACACGGCAATTGTATTAAGAAAAAGCGATTTACTCTCTTTGAATTCGCAGAGAACAGTCTCCCATGAATGACGAATCTACTTGTTATACATACGTTTACTTAAAAAATACTGGATTATACGACGTAGACAAGTAAAACTTGTTCTTGTGGATATACCTATGTGTATCGCGAATATTTAAGTTTCCTCTATTTAAGGTTGACGAGATACGATGCCTAAAAAAAAAGACAGAATAAGATCGTGTAAATGCAAACGTGAAAAAGTCCGTGCACAAACAGCCGCGCATCATGCACTACGTGACACTTCTGTGTTCCTTGTCGTTAGTGCCTCGATGAGAGGAACTCATTGTATATTTTATACGCGTTTTATCGTGTGTACATTTAACTTAAGTGCAATATTGTAATATATATTTTTTAAAGAATCGATCCCACGATATTTATTTTGTCAGATCTACGTAGATCGGTAAACGTGTAAAGTATACATAGGGACGATAGCGAATTAGAAGACGAGAACAAAAAAAGTGAGAAAGGGAAAAGAAATCTTCATATTTTTTAATACGAAATTTGGAGGAACCGGTCTTCGCTGGAAAGGACGTGAGATCGTCAAGTGGGGCTAGTTTGCGTTTACGAATTCCTAAAATCCCGCGATTGCGATAAAGTGTGATGCACAACCACGTCTCTAACGATGCTTTTTATTAGAGGGGGGGGGGGTGGGGTCTCGCGTGGCACCGCCGTGGAGGCCGTTATGTACATAACTACACGCTTGCTTCCTAATTTAATCGAGATGTAAGGGTTAACGATATTTACCGCAATAGTGTAACGACCATTTTTATATCGTGTAATGGACTGCGAGCGAGAAACGAAGGCGCGCGTACGAGAGACACTGTAAATGACTCCGGCAACATATCTCTATGGATGATTTTTTTCCTATATGAATAAAAACTATGCTCTGTGACATCGAACCTCCGAGCTTTCTTAGCCTTCGCCCCGCTATCCCAATATTAGGATCCTATCTCGTAACAAGGGGACTCTTCTCTATACATATATCTAGATACCAAGTAACATCAATTACACGACATCGTATTATAAATTTTCTACCCAACAATGTAACTGTTATGTATAACATGTATTTATATTTATCGAGTGCGAAATTATTATGTTGACGTTACGTTATGACCATTAATCGATATTTACTGGATATTAAATAAATTATTGCAAGTCGTTATTTCGATTCGCGCCGATTCCCAGATAGCACACATAGTTCTACGAATATTCTTAATTTCAGAATATACGAATCGAATGTTCTATAAATATATACATATATTGATTATTACAATTAGAAATCGTATATTTATAACAAAGAAGAACGTTCTTGGAATATTCGTTCAGAATAATTTTTTTATATTCATCGCGTTTATGTATTGCACATTGTTTACTGTGTAATACACTTATCTTAGGCAAAAGGCAGCGAAATCATCATACCATGTGTAACCGACACGCTACATTCGGTAGATTATTCTATTCTCATTCGAAAAAGATTTCTAGTAGTGCCAGTCGAATGTTCTACGAACACAAGATAAATATATGAGAATGACCTATGGAATATTCCACATATTCTCGAAGAATATTCATAAAACGTTCATATAGGAGTGTCTTGCGCTATCTGGGTCAAGGCCCGGTTTCACCAAACGTTGCTTAACTTTAATTTCAAGTTAATTCACGTTTGTCTCTTTCTAGAGTAACAGAATTCGGCTAAGGCCGGTATTTAAGGTCGGATCTTGTATTCAAGACCGCCTTGAATTTATCTAACGATGCTGTACGGAACATTTCACTGGCTACGGAGTATCTAAATGTTCTTGAGACAGTCTCGAATGTAAGATCGGACAATGATGTACTGGCTACTAAGGTACTTGAAATTTAAGCGGTTGCCAATTCGCGCGCCAATATCGACGGCGTACCGCGGCAAACTTCACACCGTGAAGTCTCGGGACGCGCCGCGGCGGCTGCCGAATGCCGCTCCGTGCTTTTCGCGACGGTTATCGGTCCGAAAGTGAGTCTCGCGCGCGAAAGATCGTCGCAGGTGTATCTCGTAGCACCGGTCGTTGTTCGCAATGCGTTAAACGTCACGTACAGCCGCCGTTATCGCGTACAGCCGCCGTTATCGCGCCGGGACCGTCCCGGCGTCACTTCGCTGATGTGCAATCGTCATCAGGTACGTGCGCGTTTTCGTTCTTCAGTTAGCTGCCCACGCGCCCTGCGATCTTGCTATCTCGATTACTTTTCCGTATCTCGACTTTTGTTAATTACCGAAGCGTTCGAGCTGTGCATCGAGTCGCGCGTGCCGTTGCCGGCACGATTGGCGGTTTCCACTGCCGAAACCGACGCCTTTTAATCGCACTTTTAGCGTCTGTCGTGGCTCGGAGCTGTCTGGCATCTTAAAGCGTGCCAATTCTTAAAGCAATCGTCGCGATTGTTTGCTAAAAATCCCGAGGGCGTTAATGGATTGTACAATTTGCAATTTTATCACGTACGATCTTTCAGGCGGTAAATTTCAACGTTTACGAGTATTTACCCCATACAGCGCCGAAGCTTTCAGAAACGTTTCAGAAACATTGAAACAATGTTTTCTGAAATTTTTTCTGAAAGCTTCGGTGCTGTACGGGACACTATACGTTTACGAAGGTGAACGATCGAACGTTCGAGTTGTACGGTTTATTAAATCAATTCTCAGATTTTCGGACGGCGAAACGGGGCCGCGAACAGCCACGACGCTAGATCGAACACCTAGATGCGACGCGTCCTAAAAAGTCGGGACGCGCGCCGGGTACGGCGCTGCGATCGGCGGGCACCGTTTCGCATGTCGCGACGTCCCTCTTCGATACGTCTCGTCACAGTCAGTCGGAAAGCGCGCGCGCGCCGCCGCCGCGGCGCGGCCGCGGGATCGTTCTCGTTATTTTACATCCGCGCTTGGTTCTCGCCCGAAGAGAGGAACATCTCGCGCGGAACATCCCTCGATCGTTCTCCGCGTGTATCGCGTCGAGTAGCGCGCGCGATCGCCGCTACTGCGACTCCGATCTCGGCGATTCGCTTTCGACGCGCGCTCGCGGATCGAGATCGCGCGCCGAGACGCGGCGAGACGCGGCGAGAGAGCGCAACGGCCGCTATATCGATCAGGTATGTAACAGATTTGTTCCCGACGGCGTCGAAAGTATCGGGAGACGCGATCGTTCACGCAAAAGCGGACAAGGCAGAGCGGAACGTCGTTCTTGCGGCGCGACTCGATGCGTGTCGGCGTTAAGGGGATGCCGGCGCGATTCCGCACTTTTCTGCACCTTTCGCACTCAGCGCTGTGGAAACATTTGTGTGGCGTGCCGGAATAGCAGCAGCTTTCCGGCCAACTCATGCCGCGCGCGTGTCTAAAAGATATCTTCGAGACATCTTTAAGTCGTCTTTCAGGCATACATATCTAGAAAACGACTTAAAGATGTCTTAAAGGTGTCTTTTAGACATGCGTGCTGTACGGGAAATTCAAGAGCAATATGGCGTCACTGAAACTAATAGCGTTTTCGATTTTCTGACTCGACCCGACCGCGAGTCAGAAAAGTTTCGTCAAAAGCAAGATTTGAACCACAATTCTACAAAAATCTTACTTTTGACCAAACTTTTCTGACTCGGGGTCGGGTCGAGTCAGAAAATCGAAAACGCTATAAGTTTGCAAGTCTAATAAAAACTAATAGTGAGCAGCACACACGCTACATGTACCGACATGTACCGTGTGCGTAACTTGCTCTCGATGCTGCTTTTCGGTATCGTTAACTAGCGGCAGCCAATGGCGAAGACTTAGACTTAGAAGACGGCAGCTTTTCACGGGTTGTCGCCCCAGCGAGAAATGACTTGTCGGATCGACATCAATTTGACGATGTCGACTCGACGTCGGTCGACGAGTCACTTCTCGCTGGGGCTACGTAAGCGAAAGCGAATCGCCTCGACAGCAAGTTGCACAACTCCCGACACCGGGAAGGCTTGGCGTTACGCGCGCTCTACGCCTCGCGGCGAAAATTGTTTTCCTTCCCCCAGCTGACGCGGAATTCTGCGCCGTCCCGTGGCTTTATCTGCTTCCCACGTCAAATTCAATTGTACAAATATCAGAGATACGTAGATCCATCGTACAAGGGGATTTGATAGGTGCGCTAAAGCGCGGGACGGCGCGATTTGAACAGTTCAGCCCCGTGCACTAACGCCCCCTCGGCGTCGCGGCTGAACCGAGAAACGGTGAACCGAGACAAGTATGAATGGGTAACAAGGGAGATAATATATCATTTCTCGCGAGACTGCGACCGGATGCATCTGCAACGAAATAATCGAGTCGGAATAGTTGTACAATGTAATAACTGTTGTAAAATTAGTAACGAGCACGGCTCAACATTATTGCATGTTGTACATTATTGCTCATTTTATCTTTGTCGTAAGCTTCTTAAATTAAATTCGGTTTCGAATCAACTTTAATTGTATTAGAACGCCGGGAAGCAACGTGTTGTTTTCCGCAAAAGTGGCTTGGAATAATTGCGCTACATGTCTATGTAAAACGGGTCTTTCGTAGATCACGGTTCGATATGTCTACAACGAGATAATAGAGTCGGAATAATTGTACAATGTAATAACTGTTGTAAAATTAGTAACGAGCACGGCTCAACATTATTGCATGTTGTACATTATTGCTCATTTTATCTTTGTCGTAAGCTTCTTAAATTAAATTCGGTTTCGAATCAACTTTAATTGTATTAGAACGCCGGGAAGCAACGTGTCGTTTTGCGCAAAACAGATGAAATTAAAAAATGAATAAACGTACACGCATATCCGATGAAATAAATGGAGTTGTTAATCGAAATCAATCTTGGCAATAAAAACCGTATATTAATAACAAATCCTGGGACGCGATGGAGCGAGGGAGGGCAGTTCGGATCGCGTTTATTTTTCGTACAACTAATCACATTTATTACACCACAATACACGACGGTACACTTAATAATTTAATCGAGTCTAAGTGATAATCGGTACAGTAGCAATCGATTAATGCGGAGGTATAAATAGCATACTCTTACTGCGTAACATCGCGTACAACTCTACGATATATGTACTTGCCGTTCGTAAATCCCGAATAAAAGTCGCACTGCTCTCGGCGACGATTCTCCGGGTGGGAGAAACCCGGTATGTAATACACCTTTTAGTCGTGATAGAGTTATTTTGTTTTACATCGAATTACGTACAGGGGCGCGGATAAGTTGCCCGTTAACGTTATACCATGTCATATCTGTACGTAGACAGTCAGGGATTAAAAGCCACCCAACTAATCGGCTGATCCATGTAAAATCGAGCGTGTGTTGTGATAACATCAATTTCTCTTTCTTCTGTTATCTGCCGT